ATCCAAAGGATATAATGATTAAACTGAAAAAATATATACGTAGTGTCGTTTCAGTTAAATAGTAATTGACAATTAGATTAATTTTTAAATTTAAATATAAATTTATTATAATCGGTTATTTTTCTTTGTATTTTGTCATTTAGTAATTTAGCAAATTAAACAAAAATTTTAATATCTAATCTCATCTTTTTCACAATTTTGAACTGATATATCATAACGTAAATTACATTAGTTATCAAAAAGTTATCAAATGCTATCTTAATCTTTAACATATGAAACTTTTATTGCTAATATATAAGGCTGTAACTTTCCATTAATTTAATGTAAAATATTAAATATGTAATTAAAAGTTGTGTTGAATAAATTCCATGAAAACTAATTGCTTAATCTGATTTTAAAAAATTATATATATATATATACAGGTAACCCCCGTGTATAACACAGCACTTCTATAGCACGGATTCACTCTAACATGGTTCGAGAATTGGTACCATCCCCCTTATAACACGGTACTTTTATAGCACGGATTCACTCTGACATGGTTCGAGAATTGGGTAAAACCCTCGTACAACAGGAAATGTAATAAATTTTTACATACTTAAGTAATAATAGTTCACGAAAATTATTATTTTCGTGAACTATTAGTACTTAAGTATGTAAATTTTCTCTTCTCGCCTTCTGTCGATACACGTGGTCCTTCTCGAAACTTGTTTCAATGTTGCCAGATCGCGACGCTTCTGCTTCTGATGTTGCCGAATGTTTTTCCCTTATTCCATACTTGCTTTATTCTTCATAAGTGCTTAGCACCATATAAGGAAATTTATAAAGACCTTTTAACTAGAAGCAAGCAATCTAAAATTACATACATTTTGCAAAAGGTAAAGCATGGATCTGAAGATAATGCAGAAAAATGCTCAGAGGATAAGGATAACTTGCCAAAAAGAAAACGCTCTCGGTTAATTAATAGTGTTTTTAGTGATGACGAAGAAAACATTGTTTAATTTATATTAATATGTATCACTTAAAAAAATTTTAATGAAGATATTTATCTTAATTATGAAAATATACTAGCATGTTTTTTAATTTTTGGAACCTAACCCTCCTTTTCGTATTAGTTCTTTGTTTCGTATAACACGGATTCGCATAACACGGCAATTTTTTGGAACGTAACTACCATGTTATACGGGGGTTACCTGTATATATATAATTAAGTATGCAGGTAGATAATTGATATACACCAAAAAGAAAGAATGAAGGAAGAGGGCAAAGTAAATTTTTCAAAGGGTTTTTGGCTACAACAATAACTTATGCTTTCTCTGTTTTAATGCAGGAAATTATTTTCTTCACTATTTTTTTGTTTCTCTGTTGTTTGTTTATTTTGTATTTTTGTGGTATTTGCAAAAGGCCAAATGGCCACAGTGTATTTTCAGATTAAAGATTATTTATAAATTGAATGTCATATGATATAAAAACAACAATTATCATGTGTGAGTGGAACATTATAGAAACAAAACACTTATCAAATCCTTTTTAAATAATTATTTTAATTTACAACATTAAATTTCATTTTTTCATTTACTTTAAAATTAACATAACTAGCTGATTAACAACAAAGTATAGATACTGTAAATAAATAATAATAATACTTAATAACATAATGAGTTGATAGATAATCAACAGGTGGCATATTCATATGATGATGATTCATGAAAAAGTAACATTGAACTGGTTAATATATGATAAAAGTGATGATGATAAATTGTTTTAAAAAATTTATATTTATAGATTTTTATATTAAATAATGTAAGAAATTTAAAAACTGTGTAATAAATACTATTAGAAAAAGTATCATATTGAATTTAATAAAGATTTATTTATAGTTTGAAATTTCATTTAGAAAACTTTTTTCTCCCCACTTAAAGCAAAGCATATATGAAATTCTCTGAAAAGCTTATCATGTAAAAATATTTTTTATTAATCTATCTGTTATTGTGGTTATTCATTTTTTTAAATTTTACAGTTTATTTACAATGAACTGTAAATGATTGAAACTTGTAAATGATTGTGTAAGTTTCATCAGTCTATAAAACTTATCTTTAATTTATTTGTCATATATTTCAACACACAATATGCAATGTTCTATTACGTTCAGTCATATTAACTATTCAATATTTTGTCAACATTAAGTGACTACACAGTATTTTGTTCATAAATGTATAAAGATAGTTAAATATATTTATCTTGATTGACTTTTGATTTTTATTGTTCCTAAAACATCACACTGCCAAATATATTCATCAGACTAATATAATCAGATGATGATGATGATGCAGATTTCTGGTCTTTATCCTATCTACAGTACTCCACTTCAATTTGAAAGTATCACCATCTTGTGATAAATTATAAAATTTCTCTTACTCTTCATTCTTCTTTTAATTTCTCTTTCTTCTCTGTAAAATTGAAAAAAACTAACAATAAAGTATTAGGTTTGATTTTTCAATCACAATTTCAGTTTTAAAGATATACAAGTATATTCATAAAGTCTATTTATATTTTTGATATTTTTAAAATGATATCCAGTATTTAAATTCATGAATTTTATTTGCAGTTTTAAACTTGCTGATCTATTAACAAAGATAATCAGAATTTATTTTATTAATTACAAAAATAAAATGAATTTTTCTAATTATTTTAATATTTTGGCAAATTTAAAAATAATAAACTTTTTTATTTAATTTTATAAATAGTATTAATATTTATATTTGCATGTTAAATTTAAACCAGGAATGACAACCTTTTTCTACTTAAGGGCCACATTTAATACTTTTGAATTGTTTGAATTGACTGAACTGAAAACACAAAAATTTTACGGTACAGATGATACAAACACTGTGTTTATATATGACTTTGAGTTCCATAAGTATGGTGTTATATGTGTAGTCAACCATAAAATGTTTTTACATGTAATAAAACATTTGGCTACTTGAAAAAGCAGTGTGGATTTCTAATTTTACAGTATGATTCCAAGAATTTTGCAATTTATAGATAATTAGAAAGATGTTTTATAAGTATTTCTTGTTGTGTCAACAGCAAATGCTGTACATACCTCTAGATTCCTGTTTTTGACAGGACTATATCATCAACTGATTTAAATTGGAAAATTTATTTTCACTTTGAAAAACATAATTTCCATATTATGATGATGTATCATTCCTGCTATCAATGGTGCAATCATTGTTGAAGTATTGTAATGTGTACTGTAATTTGTAAAAGAGGGTGAGCGAGCTGTCGGTCTTTTAGCTGACTGACTTAGCTCGTTTAGATAGGAAATGGAAAGAATGTTCGAAGTAAGATGATAAGCAGCAAGAGGAAGTTAGATAGATAGGAGAGAGGAAGGAAGTGACCATGGGTTCCATGGGCACCTGCAATGCCTCAATACACTAAGTAAAACAAAATATGGTTACAAGATCCAATGATAGCATGGAAACCATATAAACTAAATGGCATGGCAATACATACAGTATTCAGGGTTAATATTTACAATTTATATAAGGTAATATCGAGCAATTAATGTAAAACGGGAAGTTATATGTACTGTACAAGGCATATATGATCAGGAACCGTCCTTGCTATCTTCATCTGTTTTCACTTTCTGATGTTTGGTGGATTGGACTATTGTCATTCGGTGTCTGTTGCTGTTTTTTGAGGTAGTCCGGCTTTAGTTCTTTTGTTTTCTTGACGAATGTTTGAAGGCTGCACCACAGCCGTTTGGTGGAAAAGATGTCTGCCAGCTGTGGTGGCCATGTTAGTCCACTTGTGATGGTGTCCCTAAAAAATTCTGCTCTATGCTGGTGGAATTTAGGGCAGTGGAACATAAAATGTTCGGCGTCTCCCTCACTTTTAAGTTCACAATCACATTTATTGTCCGTGCGTTTTTTAAAGCGGTAAAGGTAAGACTGAAATTTCCCATGACNTTTTGGATATTCTTATTCCTATATGCATTTCTATACGAGTATATTAATATAGCATTTTTTCAAGGAAACGGATGCTTCAGCTAATCTACTGTAAAACAAAACAATTCCTTCATAGATGAACATTAAACGTGACATTTAAGTGATTCGATGAGAATGCTATATTCTCGTTTAATGTAAGAAAATAAACTAATTTGCTGTTCGTATGAAAGTATGAACTCTAATATGAATTCTAATTATAACTCTAATCCTAATCACCAGAACCAACGAGAAAAGATGAGAGGGTCAAATTCCCCGCTCCCGGGATTCATGCGGCTGTATATCATCCCAAAATTTGTTTTCTTACGCGGTAATTAAGTTACTACTAAAGCACTATTGTAATATAAAATACTTAACAATAACTATTGTTCTTTATTATGTATAAAAATAATATATCTATAAAAACCCTCAAATTTTCAAATAATTTATTTACTTGGGGCACATGTAAATTTTACCCTGGCTCGTCGACGTCTCTCGACGACTCTGCGCATCATATTATAGGCTAAATTCATATACTGTATTTTAATTACTCCTAGGTTTTGCATCTCACTCGTCAATATGCAGCACTTTGTTCCAGCAAACTTGATCTTGATTCTCTAGTTTTAAGCTCTGAAATCTTTTATTTCAACTTATATAAATTTAAATAACTATAAATCATATGTTTAATTCTTTGAATATATTAAAAAATTTTAAAAGGAAAATGAGCCAATATACTGTATATGAAAACTGCTTAATTGTTTCTCTAATTTTAAAAACATTCTGAGAATTTTTGACAATCTGAACGAATCTCTATCACGACTTTGAATCACTTCTTCGACGCTGTTGAAATGATTATTGCAGAATGTGTGTTCTTCAATCCATATTCCCAATGCATTAATACGGTGTAATGGTAAAGGCACTCCTGGTATCATATCTTGATATTGTCGAATCCTCAAAGGTGCTTTAACAAATATTTTTTTAGTCTTCGAAATTAAATTTATTTTAATTTAGATGACTGGTCTAGATGTTGAAACTTGTTATATTTTGGAAATTGCCTGTCTTATTACGGATGACAAATTAAATATTATTGCGGAGGTATGTTTTCAAGTAAATTTATCTAAAACTTTTTTACCATTAGAATATAAATGAAATCTTTGTTTTTAATTTTAATTGGAAGCTATTTAAAATTTTTTACAGAAAAGTTTTTGATTTATAGGGCCCAAATTTAATTATTCATCAGCCAGATGATGTTTTAGAAAGTATGAATAAATGGTGTAAGGATCATCATGGTAGAGTAAGTATATTAAAAAAAATTTACAGTTAATAACTTCTAAATTGTATAAAATATTCTTATCTTTGAAAATATTTACTTGCATTCCCAATTGAGTTAATGATTCAAACTTTTTGAATTTTTGTTTTGCTTTGCTTGTGTTAAGGAACATTGTTTTTATTTTTGATTCACACATAATAAATTCTTGTCTACGCTTTGTTTCATATGTATATTTACTAAAAATTAGTAATTTATTTTTCTTGTAATGCATGTTTTCATAACAAAATTGGTATCATCCTGTACAATTAAGTCAGAGGTCAAATCAAAGACAAAAAATGTAATTTTAATATCTCTCTTGTTGTCTGAGTCCTTATATTGTCTAAACATTTCTGATCTGTATTTTAAATGAACACAATACTTTGCTTTTGCTAATTAATGTATTTGCTACTTTCTGATACCCAAGGATGGTGAGTATCAGAAATGAAATTGAATGTAAAAACTTAAGTGTTTGCTTCAACTAAGATGCTGATAATATTGATGGATGTTTTGTGATGATACAATATTCTTACAATTGCAATCTGTGAAATAATATGAGGGATGATCAAAAACTAAGGTTACAAAGCCTGCAGTGTAAAGTGTAAATTTTATTTCATACAACCAATACAGCCAACTGATAGTACATATACATTAGGTTATTTTTCGACCTAGTCTCCACATTGGTTTAGGCACTTGTCACTTTGTATGATGAGTTTGAAAATTCCCTTCTGGTAAAAATCCTGTCCTTGCATGTTTAGCCAAGTCGTCGTGAAGTGTTTCACTTCCTCGTCTGAAGAGAATCGTCGTCCTGCTAAGTTCTCCTTCAAGTGAAGAAACAGGTGAAAGTCGCTTGGAGTGAGTTGTGTTGACATCTGTTGATGCCATGCTGGGTCCAGCCACTGCGATCTTCGTTGGTGATGTTTTCTCTACCAGCTGCAAACTTCCAACACCATTCTGCAACATGCTGATAAGGCATTACTCTCCCTGTAAACCTCTACCAACTGCTGATGAATTTCAGCCGTGGTTACATGTTTCACCCACAGAAATCGAATAACTGAACAGATTTCTTCGCGAGATCAGTTTTCCAAACGAGTTGCCATTTGTGTTTACCTACAACTAGTGCTGTAGGTGGTGGGTGGCTGAAACTCTGCACAGTTGCTAACCGCATGTATTGGAATTACCGCACACTTCTAATTTCTCTATAACAAATGAAACTTTAGGAATTGTAACCTTAGTTTTTGATCAACCCTCTTAATAATAAATTTTTGCTGTAGTTTTAACTGAACACCAAAACATTATAATTAACATTTTTAAAGTTTTTGTAGGGAATGGTATTTGTTTTTTATTTAGACATACTTTAAATGCAGAATAATGTACAATACACTTTTGCTTATCTGGTTGCTCAATTATCTGGCATACTCTCCAGTGTGCCTATGCTCTTCTGTTTCTATGAAAATGTTAGCTATGTCATAAATTTTGTTTTTCTGTTTACTTTGGTTTTATTTCAGCGCACACATTATTTGCCTGTCTCCCTCCAAAAAAGAACTGCTACCAAAGGAAGTCATGTCATTCATTTAGGATGCCAGGCTTAAGTCCTACATGCCATCTGGTGCACTGTACAAGAGTCTAATCAGTATGCTTTTACTCCTAAATTTATCTATAATCAGGAAAAATATTAAGTCTGTGCTGATGACAAAATAATTTTATTGTCATTGGTTAAAATTTGCTTTTAATAGTTTAATAAATGAGTTTTTGTTTTTACATTTTGCCAAAAACACTTTTAATGTAAATTTGAGTGTATGTATGTTACTGTAAAAGTCCAAAGTCTTGTAACATTTTGAAATTACCAGTAAATCTAGACATTTACTGGTATTGACTGGTAAAAGTCCAAAATCCAGATTGTCCATATTTTGGATCAAAAGATACTGGCTAATGTCTGAATTTACTAATCAAGTCAGGTGAAAAAGTATTAAGTTGTCATAATAGACAACTTATTCATCTATTTTATACAATTTTTTGTGTTTACTTAAATCTTGCTTTTAATGCAGCAGAATGAATGAAATAATACATAGCAGATTTTTGTGAACTTTTAACTGAATTAGTGAATAATAATAAGAAAGACAAAAACTCTTACTTAACAGAATGTTATACCTGTTCATTAGTTAAGTGAAGTGAAAGATATGAAAAATGTTTCAAGAAAAAATCTGTTTACTATAGGCATTCAAAGAGGTATGATGTTCTTAATATTGGAAATTCTTTACTATGTTTGTTTTGATGAACTGTTTAATGTAATACATGAAGTCCACATTGGTATTGGTCACGATGGAAGAATTCTGATTGCTGTCGAACTGAATTGCATATATAAGAAATGTGACTATTCAATCTGTCATTATTTATTTAAGGTTATGTGAATCTTGTCAAAAAAACAGGGCTGTGGAGTCATGTAAAAATCTACCAACTCCGACTCTGCCTTACCATCCAACTCCGACCAGGGACGGACTTGTTACCAAAATAGATCCAGAAATTCTGAAGTCGTCACATCACCGCAGAATAAAATATTCAATAAATAGAATTCTAATAAAGATAGAACATAGAAACTTTTTATTCCAAAGCTAAAAAACTCCACTAAGTAAGGACACAGTCAATATATAAATATGTATTTGATAATTTTTAATTTCCCGGCTATTATATATAACAGAGGGAAAGTGTAGCGATCAGTCAAAAAATGACCCCTTCCAAATTTTTACATTTTTGGACTCAGGATACCTTTAAATGTTGAGATATGCAAAAGATTTGGTTTTTTTTTCCCTATATGCATGGATGTTACACTGTGAGTGGGGGGGGACAATTTTGTTTACCCTGTTTGAAGCCTAATAACTTCTTAATGATGGTCAGATGGTGTAACACAGGAGTTATTAAGCTTCAAAGTGGTTGAACTAAATCATGCCCCCATACACATTGTAACATCTTAGGCGAGAATATCTAAATGGGTTTTACTGTACTATTATAAAATGACAGAAAGCTTAATTTTAAGGGTAGAGACAAGTTTTATTTTAAAAAAATTGTAAACACAAATAATGAGTAAAATATTAAGTTTGACTGCACTGGAGATATGACACTCCTTCTATGTCTCCACCCTATCGACCTTTAATTAAGAACCAAAATTTAATAGCATTAATGCTCCTTTATACACAAGCTACAGTGCCAAATTTTGTTTCTTAAACTTTAACCATTCTGAGATATTGTTTTTAATATCTCAGAACAGAGAATAAAGAAATTAACAAATTAGACACCAACACGTGTGCGAATTTTTCCCCTTTAATTAATTGACTTTTTTTTTTGTTCGGGAGGTCTCTAAACATGTAGATTTGCAAAAAACTTGGAGGGTCAAATTTGGCATGATTTCAATACTTTTCTGTTTTATATACATAAGAAGTTTGGAAAGTAAAAAGGAGATGGAACACCAACCAACCGAAAGGAGTTGGAGTCAGCAGATTTTTTGATGACTCCAACTCCAGTTAATTAAAACACCAAAACTCCATGACTCCGACTCTGATTCCACAGCTCTGAAAAAAAGAAAGAAACATTGAAAAAAATATCATATTTTTGTGGAATGACTGGCATGTCAGTCTATCTAGGGAAACCATGAAATCAGATATTCTGTATGGTAAAACTGGCATGTTGGTTTAAGTGATGCTATATGTCGTTCTGTAGCGGGCACAGTAAAAAAAAATAAAGTTAAATCACATAAAAACAAAAGAGTTTTTATTCTAAAACTGAAACTGTCAGCATTACATCATAAACTATTATTATATGTTTAATTTCTTCATTTTTTCATATTTCTAACAACAAAAAATATTTGTGGAATTTTGAGTGCTTTTTTTTCTTTTAATGTGTATTTTATTGTTATTTGATTCAAAAATACAAAAATAAACAATAAATTTAAGAAATTTACTGTAAATTATCTCAGATTACACTAATTAACATCTGCTTTGTATGAAATTTGAGAGGAATATGTTATTTTTAAGGTCAGGTAGATGGTGTTGCCTACACTGACTAACTACTACCACCACCAATAAGTCTTTAATTGTTTTACTGTCTTGTAAATGAAACTCTCTTCCTGATTTGTAAGTCAATCAAATTACAATGATGTTATTTTATTGTGTGCAGAAGAATGTTTTCTTTAATATTTAATTGTTTAACAATTAGTTTTGTTAGATCTGATTAATTTTATATTTTAGTCACTTTAACTGGCATGCTGGTCTTCCCCATTTTTATGCGGCATGCCAGTCATTCTGCGAAAATACAGTATATTGTGGTAAAACCTACCCATAGAACAAAATCAATTCATGATGCCAGATTGACTTAATTGATATGCAGGCCAATCCAGACAATGTCAAAATTCATATTGGTATAGCAGGATCATTTGACAAAATTTGTTGTTCTTTGAGCATTAAAATTGAAAAGGGAAGTTGCATATCATCATTTGGATATTTTCACAACTTTTGGTGCACCTAATATCCTCCATTCTGACAATGGTGAAAAGTTTTGTAACAAAGTTATCCAATGTTTGTGACATGTGGGCTAATATAAAGGTAGTTTGTTGATAATAGAGTCACAGCCAGTCTCAGGGATCAGGCAAACCAGGACATCTGAAATACGTTATCAACTTGGATGGAAACAAATAAAACTTGAAAATGGTTTGAAGGCTTGAAGTTTGTGCAAGCAATGAAGAGTAGAGCTTACTTGAGGGATCAAATGTTCACCATGTGAAACTGTTTGGTATATCCAATGAAAATGGTTATTGTTAGCTCAGTTGTTCCACATGATTTAGTGAACAATGTAGACACTGAAGATTTGAAAAAAATGTTAAATCCTGGAAATGGAAGAACACAGTTAAAAAGTACAATTGGAACAGAGAATAAAACTGCAGAAGGTCAGCAAGAAAATACAGTTGGAGAAGACAAAGAGGTAGAGATGGAGCATTT